ATTAACACATGAAACTTGCTTTCTGTAAATGAGACACCAGATTAGGTGATCTCTAAGAAGGTCTTTGTTGTCACTGCTATGTACATTGAGTAGGAACCAACCCATAGCTTACCCTCCAGAGGGTTTTCAGGTGCAGTTAACACACAGGAGGCAAATGCTCAACCTTCTCCCACAGAACAGCTAGTAGATTAAAACTTCATGCCTTCAGGATTATAGCGCAGCTTCTTGTCACTATGCCATCAGAGGTCCCTGATCTTTATTTTAAATAAAGACCAGGAAGGTCTATATTAAAAATAATTTCATTTCATTTTTTTATTAAGGTGTTGGTATAAAATCCTGCATTGAAATTTTCCCCCAAACTTCAAAGTACCTTTAAATCTATTACTTCATTTGATCTTGTAAGAGAATAGCTATCTCCTCTTGCTATATGAATATATGTAAGATACTTAAAGCTGACCTACTTCAAATTATGTCAGTTGGCTAATAAATGGCAAAAGTGAGACACTAACCAAGATCTTTTAATACAAGAGTCAGTGCTTTTTTCCACTGATGTCACAAAATGGAAAATAAATATATGGATGATATTCAACCTTTTTCATAATTTTAGACATATATTATGAGGAGAAATAAAAGGGGGACCCTCACAAATTACAATAATAAAACTAGGAAGAGGAGTGTATCAGGTATCATATCATGTCAGATATCATAAGGAGTCAGCTTTCAAAAATCTACAAAACAAATAGTAAGAATTTTAGAGAAAAATTATAGAAGTTAAGCTAAAAATGCTAGTTTATAAGAAGAGTACTAGACAAAAGTCAGGAAGAAGAGGATCAAATAAGTACAAAAGTACATTTATAGCCAAGAAAAGAAGGAGTCTGATGTCTTACGTCTATACCAAAAGAGAATGCAAAAGTCTATTTCTAAATTCAAAGCATTTTCAAAAGATAAAATGTGTGCTTTCACATGTTAAGTTTAAAGGGTTTGTTGTTTTGGGTTGTTTTTGTGGCTGGGAAGGTGTTGAAGAGTAACTCTTTACAGAAAGCTGAAGCTAATAGTAAGGTGCTCTTATCAATACAGGAATACGCTCTTTTATATCTATCAAAATAAATATAACCATAGAGTTTACTGATGATTCAACATCTACGATACTAGTGCTGATCCACAACTACATATCTTTCACATACCTCCTCATTGATGATGGTGGCATTGCTCAATGAGCGTAATGCTGATGTTATTTTTCTTCCAAGGTCTGCTAGTACCATCTTGAAGGTTTTTAAGACACACTAAAGGAAATCTAGGTGGAAAATAAAATTAATGAAAGCATTAGAAACAAATTCATTTCAGTTCTCATAATAAAAAACTTCTAATGACAATTAAAACCCATCAGTGAATCCACAGTAGAAAGGATGGACAATGTATTTCTGTGCAATTTACAGCTTCCCAAAACCTCACCAGAGGGTCAGCTATGTGTCAGTTCCAACTCTATGGCAATGAGCCTTTTTGAGTTTGAGAAAGCAGGAAGGAGTAGGAAATAAGGGTAAATAGAAAAGGCAGGCCAGGGATGCAGGTATGTTGGTATGCTGAAGAGAATGCAATCAATGTCATAATACAAAACAAACAAAAAATAATTTAACAGAAATCTAATTTGCTTGCACAATTTTACCCAAACTACTGAAATTTTTTTTTTTTAAAAAAAAAACCAAACCAAACAAAAACCACCTTGCAGAGGTAAGGAAGATACATGGGGAGGTCTACACATTTGGCAAATTTTTCTCATTCTGGTCAGCAGAGGCTATACAGTTGGAGGGGAAAAAGGTTACACAGAGCTCTGAAAACCAAACTAAAGAACATCAATTGTACAATAGTACATTGGTATAACAGCATAAAGCAACTCTTTTGGTAATCCTTCCAAACTGATCTAGTCTAATTTAGCCAACCAAGATGATCCAGACTATATTCCATATATAATCTAAGAGATTAGAGAGAGAAATAAACAGAAGGTCAAAACCAAAACAACAAAACGGCTGAGTCATTTGGAGACTGGAGACTAAGAAAAGTAAAATCAAGCAGGAATGAAAAGTATCCTCTAGGTTTAGCTCTGGCTAAATAAATAGCTGGTAGAGTTCTAAATTAAACACTATAGTTACACTCAAATTTTTGTAATTTAGAACTTTAAAAAATTACTACCAATATTTGACAAAATGTTTACCTGATTACCATAATTTTTTTACAATTACATAGTCATTCAACATGAAAGAGCAACTAGTTTATATAAACTATCAGGCCTTATTTTTTAACCAACACCCATTATATGAATTATTATTGTCTAGTAAATACTTTTCATGTAAGAAAGTGAGAGATTTGAATTCATCTCCTTTACCTGGTTAAGTACCAGGAATGATATAATCCTATTTATGAGCCTACAATTAATTTTTTTAGAGATTATGTCATAAACAGTTTACCCTCCATTTAAAAAAACTTTGAGTTAATGCTTAAATGTAAATTCAGAATCCTATGTTGACTGGCTTTTTAAAATTAAACACAAAACTTCTGTGAAATTTTCTAAAACACTTTTGTGTATTTATTAGTAGCATATTTTAAAATATTTTTTAGCTTACTAATTGAATAACACAGAAATCTTTTGTCTATTTGCTGAACTGAACAACGTGGTGTTGCTGTGACGCTGCACACTGTTCCACAGTCTATAATGGTTACCCATTATGTACAGTGTTTGGATGAGCTTCCAAATTGATTTATGCCGGGAAGCAGGAGTGGCACACACTTCCTAAACTAGATGCCTCTGTAAACTCTACAAACTCTCTAAACTCTATATATGTACAGAAATGATGGTAGTTATAGAATAGAGTTCTGTAAAAAAATGATGTTAGTCAGAGAACAGAGTTTAAATGTTTTGTGCAAAACTTACTCTCAGTCATATTCGACTTGACACTTAACCCCTGCTAAGTAAAACTAGTGCTATTATATCTGGAGGAACACTCTTCCACTTTGTACATCACTCTTTGTCAATGTGCAGCATGAAGTAACCTGGGTTGTTGTGATGTTGAACCTTGTGCCACTGGGATATCAAATACCAGAATGGCTTCCCAATGTGGACAGTATTTGGTGGAGCTCCCAGTTGTTAAGAGGTTTGGAAGCAGGAGTGTCATCCACTTCCTAAACCACATGCTTCTAGAAACTCTATGAACTCGGTGAAATGATGACAGTTATGCAAAGGCATTAGGTCTTTTGTTCATAGAGTCACTATGAGTCGCATTCAACCTGACAGCAATCAACAACAATTGAATAACTTGTCAGCAAGCAGGCAATAGTTTCTAGTAACAGTAAATGAATAACGACATCTAATAACATCTTTCATTTATACAATATTCTTTCTACCATTTTAAAAAACATGTTTCCAAAACTCTGGTAATAGAATTCTGCTCAAAATCCATCCATGTCCTGCAGATGTAAGTAAAATCCTCAGAAAGAATTGCAAAGCACTCCCAAATATACCCACTGGGTTAAATAATACAGACTCCCTTGCTGTTCCTACTACATACTTTCACTTCAGGGTGTTACTGCTAATTATTGCATTAATTGTAGGTGCTTTTCCTGTGGCAACAACAGCAGTACATCCTTCATTTATTCAGATACCTCCCCCAGTGTTCAATGAGGCCTTCCCTAATTATTTAAGTTATTAAAACTTCAACTCTCTTTCCATTTATTTTTCCTCATTTTTCTATTACCAACCAAATTATACAAAAACTTACATTATTTGTGAAATGTACGATACATGTGAGCAAAGACTTTATCTCTCTTGTTCTCTCTTAAGAGCTCACCACTCTTTCTTATACAAGGTTGTTGTTGTTGTTAGGTGCCGTCGAGCTAAGTAGGAATCATAGCAACCCTATGAACAAAAGATGTTAACCCTATTCTACCCTGTGCCATCTTCACACTTTGTGACACACAAGAGCCCACTGCGGCAGTCACTGGATCAATCCACCAGCTCATGGGCCTTCCTCTTCCTCACCGACCCTTTATTGTTCCAAGTACTATGTCCTTCTCCAAAGAATTAACCCTCCTAGCAAATGGCGAAGGCTCATCATTCTTGCCTCCAAAGAGCATTCTGGCTGTACTCTCTTTAAGACATATTTGTTCTTTTGGCTGTCCATGGGATGTTCAGTGATTTTCTCTAACACCACAGCTCAAAGGCATCAATTCTTGTTATGTCATCTTTATTCACCGTCAATTCTCAGATGCATAGCAAGTGACTGGAAAGACTACGGCCTGAATCAGATGCACCTTAGTTCTCAAAGTGACATCATTACACCTCAATAATTTGGAGAAGTCCCTAACTGCATATTTTCCCAGTGCAATGTGTCTCCTTATTTCCTGACTGCTGGTGCTAAGGTTGTTAATGGTGGGCCCAAGCTAGATGAAGGTGAATAACAGGTCTTTGAAAACCCTATGTGCACTAGAGGAATGAGGATAGTTATAGTAGTGTAGTGGTAGAGCCCAGACTGGAAGTCAGTTGAAATGAGGAAAAACAATAACAAACATCGTTTAACAATTGGAACATGTAATATATGTAGCCTGAATTTTTTAAAACTAGAAACTGTTAAAAATTAAATGGAACACATGAACATCGACATATTAGGCATTAGTGAGATGAGATGGACTCGCTTTGGCCGCTCTGAATCTATGCTGGGAATGAAAAACAGAAGAATGATGTTACATTCATAGTAAAAAAGTCAATTTAAGTTCTATCCTGAAGTATTTTCAGTGACAGGATAATATTCATATGCATACAAGGAAGACCAGTTAACACAACTATTACTCAAATATACAGTCCTACAGCTATAGCCAAGGAGGAAAAAATTGAGAATATTTACCAAATCTTGCAGTCCAAAATTGATCAGACACATTCAATCAAGATGGGTTAATTACAATGATGTGTTCACTGCAAGTACCTTTTCTAAAAGACACTAACGATGACTTTACACATGGATCTCTCCTTATGCACTGTACAGAATCAGACTGACTACATTTATGGAAGAAATTGTTGGAGAAGCTCACTACTGGCAATCTAAACTAGACCGGGGCAGACTGTAGGTCAGACTACTATGCACAGGAAGTTCTGATAAAAGTGTAGGCCTAGACGTAAGGAGTTGTACTGTCAAACCAAAACCATGCACGTTAGATTCTACCAGCTGCTCCACAGGAGAAAGACAGGCAATCTCCTCCTGTGTAATTTATTTATTGCTCCTGAAAGCTTGCTAGAGGATCAGCAATGAGGTTGTTCTGATTCTATGGTTCATAACAATGAGAAGTAAATTTTATGAATGAATGAAATGATGTACTTAAAACTGTAAGGGAAAAGCAAGGTTAAAGAACCCAAGTCATATATGGTCTTACAAATCTTTTAAAGACCACTACCAGGAGGCAGTTGTCAGAACAGAGCAAGGAAACACTTCAAAATCAGTAAAGGTATACTCCAGGGATGCATCCTATTTTCTTACCTTTTAAATCTATCTGTGAAACAGACCACCCAGGAGTCTGGGCTCTATGAGTAGGAACATGGCATCAGGATTGGAGGAAGACTCATCAACAACCTGTGTTATGCAGATGATACAACCTGGCTTGCCGAAACTGTGGAGGACGTGAGGCACTTGTTGCAGAAGGTCAAAATCAAGGACTGCAGCCTTCAATATGGATTGAAACTTATCATCAAGAAAACAAAGATTCTCACTACTGGGGCCGTCTGGAAGCATGATGATGATAGACGTAAAGAGATTGAGACTGCTAACAGAATCAGTTTGATTATCAATAGTCAACACTCCTGGAAACAGTAGCCAGAAAACAAAAAAACAAATTGAAATTGAAAAATCTGCCATCTATCAGGGATCCCACCAGAGTACTGAAGAGCAACGACGTCAGTCTGGAGATTAAGGTGCAAATGATCGAGGCCATGGTCTTCGCAATTACTTGCTATGTATCAGAAAACTTGATGACTAGGGATGATAGGAGAAGAAATGATGACTTTGATCTGTGGTGCTGGAGAACAGTATTGAATAAACAAACCATGGACTACTAGGAGAATAAACAGGTTTGTCCTGGAGAGGGTGTAACCAGACTACTTCTTGGAGGCAAGGATTCTGAAGCTTTGTCTTACATATTTTGGACATGTTGCAAGGAGGGACCAGTCCTTGGAGAGGGAAGTCAAGCCTGGGATGGTGGAGGGACAGCACAAAAAAGGAAGACC